ACTGCTGTAGCTGAACCCAGGACAATAGGGAAACAGAGCTAACAGCCAGCAGACCATACTCCATCTGCAGTCAAGCTGCAGGGAGCAGGTTGTAAGTCAGATACATGCTTGGCATTAACTGATTAAATGCTTCTAGTGTGAGTGGATCAATCCCTGCAAAATCCCTGCCATGTTAATTTGAGCAAACCTTCCCCTGCGAAATAAGTTATACCACTGACAGCCACTATTTGAGCAACAGAAACCACGCTGATTACAAATCTTGCACCTGCCAATATTGCAACAACATGAACCTGGCATATCTGGAACATTAGCAAGTTTTCTTATGCATGTTTAGTGCCTGGCACTAACACTCCTCATCTCCAAATGTTATTTGGTATAATTCTATTAGCATATGGGTGAAACAGCACATAACATCAATGAGTTTAATTTCTTTTGGTCAGATTTCACTCCCTCCACTTCCCCTGAAACAAGATGTTCATTTTCTTTCCAAGCTTGCAGTGCAAGGGTGCATCAAGCGTGCAGAGATGGTTAGCTTTTCCTGTTAGCTTTAACATGTCAGTCTGAATTGTGGTACTTTTCTGGTTCAGTTTCCTCAAAAGGCTACCACACTGTGCTTTGCTGCATGGCCATGCTCAGCAGTTTTTATCACCTGTTTTGCAAATGCTATTTGTGCCTGAGGTTGGCTCCATAAACTGCTGCTACTCGAGCAGGTCCTGCCTTTCCTCCTGCCATCAAATACAGCAGCAAAAGCAGACACTGAGAATTGTAGCCTGTTCCAACTAATTCACGCATAAATGCTTAATTCAATAAGAGTAGGATGCTTATGCATGTATCATTGAACGGTCTGGGTTGGAAGGGACCTTTAAAAGTCGTCTAGTCCACCCACTGAAAGTACTGAAAAGCTACAATAACGTCTACCCAGAGGCTTCAGGGGGTTGGAACTAGAGGATCTTTAAGGTCCCTTCCAACCTAAACCATTCTGTGATTCTGTGATTCTAACTCTCTCACAGGAGAGGTGCTCCAGCCCTCTGATCCTCTTTGTAGCCCTCCTCTGGACTCACTCAAGCAGGCCCACATTCCACTTACGTTAGGAGCCCCAGAGCTGGACACAGTGCTGCAGGTGGGGTCTCATGAGACCAGAGTAAGGGGGGAGAACCACCTCCCTTGACCTGCTGGTCACGCTCCTTTTGATGCAGCCCAGCACATGCTGGCTTTCTGGGCTGTGAGTATACATTGCTTGGCTTATGTCCAGTTTTCCATCCATCAGTACCCCCAAGTACTTCTCCACAGGGTTGCTCTCAATCCCTTTATCCCCAGCCTGTATAGACACTGGGGTCAGCTTGGATCCAGGTGCAGGACCTTGCACTTGACCTTGTTGAATTTCATGAGGTTCGCATGGGTCCACTGCTCAAGCCTGTCAAATGTTGCATTTTCAAACATGCTTAGGCAACATGAAAATACTTTCCAAAGGCAAATTTGGAAAAAACTGGCATTTTAGCTAGTTACCAAGAAGTCAAGAAGCCTACTTAGGTACCCTTTTTATTTAAGGGTTCTGTACTGGAACTGCCTTTCCTGTTTTTCTTTTTTTCTTCTCATTTGTGTCCAAGCCAGAATCATTGGCAAACCCAAAAAAAAAGTGTCAAAGCTGGGATACTGGCTTACAAACATGCAAAAAATCTTTTTTAGTCACTCTTATTCAAGATCTTGGTTGATGCTGTTAGCCATGAGAATAGTTGTGTTCACTCCTCTCATTTTTTCACCCTGCAAGGTAGGAAGAAGTTGCTCACTTGCAAATGTTCTTGAGCACATGGAGGTTACAAGTGAAACCACCCAACCGCAATACAAAATGAAGTAAATTATAATCGCTGATTGCTGAGCTGTTTTCCACATACATTTAGCCTCTCTCCTAGCATGTAGTACTGCTCCATTGCAAAGCAGACTATATGGTCTTTTTTTGCTACCTAAAAATAAACCATTATTGTGAACCAGAATACCATGACATTGCAACAAATCCCAACTAAGAGGTCTAAAAAACAGTCCTCCAGCCTGTAACTACAGGAAGCACAGAGGTAATTTTTTTCTTGCCACCAAGAAGCAGATCTTCAAATTTTTTAAGATTTTGCTGAAAACTGAAACTACCCCTCATATATTAAATGAGAATGCAACTGAATGTGTCTTAATTTGTGGGAGTTCAGCCTTACAAACTACATATACATGTATTTTTAGCACTCATGTACTTACAAAGTGGTAAATACCTGAGAACAAATATCTAGAGAGACTCTGATAATGCAATACTTAATTATGTTTAAGTCCATTAAGGAACAGACACAATCTGACAGATCATGGTTAGAAAGAAGTTTCTCACTGTCACAATCTATGCAAAAGTTTACATTTCTTATCACTTGTGCTGAAGAGAGCTTTGCTGCACTTCTTGGCAGATTCCTATGGCAAATCTTATATCAAACAAATTTGCTCTTAATCTGATTTCCATTTTCATATACAGTTCTATTACCTACATGCTCATTTCTAAAACAGAATTCCTGTTACTTGGCTTTAGCGTCCCTTGTAGTACAAGAATGCTGCACAGAGTGGAGTTAGCTATTGGGCTCTACACCAGGTATTCTAGTAGATGTGGACACTACATAAAATACAAAATACTTCCAGACTTGGCAGGGACAAAGGATATTTCTGAGTCCTAAACATGTGCATAACGATTGATCATGTGCACTTAAGCACAGGTTTGCAAACTGCGTAACAGGATGATCAATACAGCTTTTTCAGCATATTTTCTGGAGAGCCATTCAACATCGATTGCTTATGAAATAAAATACTACATTTTTTGTTAAATTAACTGTGAAAAATACCATTTTCATAACCAAGATGCGCAGCATACACCAAAAGAAAAGCTAGTTCTAGCTGCTGAGAATTATCTTCCCTGACACATTGCACCAATTAATTACTGGTTTTCAGCTGCCCACATTCCTAAAACCACACAGACTCTTTTGCAGTGGAATATATAAAAATGTAAAATAAAAGAAGTTTCAGTGTCCAAAATGCAAAATAATGCTAAGATAATTCCCGAAATATTGAGACATAGGGAAAAAACCCCAATGCCTGGACAGATATTTTCACTTTCGTCAGGCAGTACTGGATAGATGGAGAGGTTCCATAACTAAGAATTCAATCAACCTGATAGAGTTAAAAATCCTAAAATGGGATTTCATAAAACCCCTGCAAGAAACTGAACTAACAATGCAAAGGATTTGTCTGAAAACAAAAGTTTATTTGAAAAACACTCAATAACTATTATTAAGGAATTATTTTTCTCCTTATGTTAACTTATTTACATATGCAATATATGTACATTTACAGAGCTATAATATGAATTGTGCATTACTGTAATAAATCCACAGAACTATGTATCATACAAAAACTGGTAATCTATAATATAGACCTTTTTTTTTGTCTGAAATTGCCTAAAAATTAAGCATTAAGACATGTTTTCTCAATGCATTGCTAATAATTTCCTGTAGACACTGTTGTTCACATTAGTAGAGCACGTACCCCTTCTACTAGTGGTAGACACTGACTGGCCACTGCTGTTACTACTGTTAGGATCAGAAGTCTTCTTAAAATTGAAGAGACTGAAAAGTTGTCTCTGATACTGAGAAGAAGCATAGTAGTAAATGAAGGGGTCAATGCAACAGCTAATGCTGCTGATACAAACACAGAGTAGATAGGCAAAGTAGAGATATTCTAAGCTGTTGTCGTAAGAAAAATGGATATAATGAATTAATAGGAGAACATTTGTTGGTCCAAAGCAAATAACAAAAACAGAAAAAACAGCCACACACAAGAGCAAGGCACGTGTCTTCTTATTTTGTTTTGCAACAAGAGTAGAAGAACTAAGACATCGAATGATACACACGTAACAGACAGTAGAAATTATAAATGGCACTACAAAAAACACAGAAGAGAAGATGGAGAAGAAGTGGAGGTAATAGCCATGAAGCTCAGATTCTCTTAGCACATCGTGGCAAGTAGTTATATTTAACTTGGGTATTTCCATTGTTTGCTCTCTAATGAGAAAAGGTATAACCCCAGCTATTGCTACAAGCCATATGATGAAACAAATCAGTGAGGCACGTGTTAACGTACGCCACCCAAGAGACTGCATGGGATACACCACTGCTAAGAAGCGATCGAAGCTAATGCTCGTCATAAGCATAATTGAACAATACATGTTACAGTAGAAGGCAGCAGTGATGAAACGGCACATTTCGGGTCCAAAAGCCCAATCATTTCCAGAAAAGTGATAAGCAATCTTAAAAGGAAGCACGCTTACAAACAGGACATCTGCAAGGGCCAAATTCAGCATGTATATCACAGCTGGCTTTTCAATTTTCATTTTTTTCAGAAACACGACTATCGCTGTAATGTTCAGGGGGAGACTCAGCACAAGCACTACAGTGTAAACTGAAGGAACAAAACGTGTCAGCCATGGACTAGTGAGGTATCTCACTGTTTGCACTGACACTATTCGCTCATGTAGGAATGATCTAGTATGGTTGATGGCTCCTGCTCCAACTTCCAAGTCATCTTCAGTATCACCTTCAGTAGGTATGCGGTCATCCTGGTGACTTAAAATGGAGATCATAAAACTTCTGATCTGTAGTGTGCTGCTGTTATATGGAGAGGCTGAAAAATAAGGAAGTATTAAGATTAATAAGCTAATATTTACATCCTATAGGGAAGCAAAAACATCTTTCAAAAAGGAAAGCTCATATCACTTTAGCAACACAAAACAATGAGGTTAATTCCTGATTCAAAGTGCAGACTGCCCATAGATGTTAGTCCAGCCCTTTTTATTTTAACTTCTGTTACAAGTTTGGGTAAGATGTCCTCCATGGCCTCCTGTCTCTTAGCCTGGAAGCTTCTATGGCAGTGACTCTACCTAGCAAGTACTGAGTATTTATGTGTGCTCTGGAGACATCTTACTCAACACAACAGCCTCATCAAGTGGCAGACATCTGTATGCAGTTTTCAAGGCAGATGTGGATCAACCTTTTGCTTGTACCAGACAGGTAGCCACAGCCTGCACTGTAACACTTCCCAAGCTCTACTTAACCTACTCCACAGGACATACCCCGTGTGCCCTTGCAGCACTTCTGAAACCTACCACTAGTGTTCTCTCTACAGCTTTGCAATACAGTCGTTGTCTGAGTCTGAGAAGAAAGGTGTCAGGACAGGGTATCTGCTTTCTGAATGTAGCTGTAACGGTTTAGGAGGTCAGCATTACAAACTGTTGCATGTGTGGTATAGGTTTATTTATCGGGGGGAAAAAAAAAAGACAAAAAACCCCAACCAACCAACCCCAAAAAACAATACCAGAAAACCACAATCAATCAAAAGACCTACTGTAGACATCATTTCAGAAAAGTTGTTTGGATGGAGTCTTATTTTGGAAGAGAGTTGTTTTCCACGTCAGCTTAATCTAGTTAGGCGAAGGGTAATTCAAACATATTATGAGCAGACAGAAGTGAGTGAGTTACTACTATTTAATCATTCATGCGCATAGCTGTGCAACTGATCCTTTGTTGAATCCTAGACAACTAAAACAAAAATGAAGGTGTGTTAGCTTAAATCAGTGAGCTGAAGGTACAATGGCATGATTCACCTGTCTAACACACTGCTCGTTAGAAGCAATTATTTCTTCTACAGTAATTCAAACACTGTTTTTAATGCAGATGAGAACAAATGCATCTGAAGGAGGCAGATGGCAAAGAGAGGAGTGGCTGGAGCTTAAAGCAGCCAGTTACCTCCATCTGTGCGCAGGCTGTGTGAGAAAGGCTTTGCCCAGCTTGAGTTTTGGTTGAACTTGAATATGGGGTGATGAGTTGTATGGAAATGTGGGGATTTTTTACAGCTGCTGTGCTGTACATACCATGTTGTGTCACAGCAGCTTTCAGGGGGCAGAGGGGACAAAAGAGGGGAAGTGTCCTAAATAATGTCTTTTGTATGCAAAGTGACTAGATTGCACCTGCTGCAGGCCAGAAAAAGGATTCTGGATGAGAATTTCAGCCCAGATGCCTGTTGCACAGACTGCAGTAGGAACAAATTAGTACTCTTCCTGAAATACAAATGCACAGAAGTATGTGAGATTCAGTGTTTGCACAGAAGGGCACTAAACCAGTTTATACAAGGGGCTATTCTGCTGTCTAAACAAGAACACTAATAAAAGACAAAACTATAGATCTTTAACCTTACTTCAAAAGTTTAGTCCAAGCAGGTGGATGGCTCAGGCAGTCAGCTCCTAGTTTGGCAGTTCAGGTTCAGCATAAGTTATATCTTACTGCCAAGATTACCTACCTGTGCATGATGTGGTAACTGAGGTGTTTCCAGCAAGCACCTCTCACATCCCAGTGTACCTGAGCTTTGAAGGGCTTTGCTTGCACTGCCTCACCTGAGCCAGCAGTGCTGGAGTGCCTCACTTTCTGAGGCCTAGCAAGCAAAGCAGTCACTGCCACTGACCCTTAATGACTGAGGTTAAGTAACTTACTGTGAAAGACCTGACCCACTTCTTGTCAGTGACTCCTAATTTAGAACAGTATGCAAATATGCTAAAGAGAAAAAATGATTGGGCTAGTTCCCTTTTATTGACTACTGACCACTGTCTTAACTATTGCTTATAATTACTTGAACATTGATAATAATTTTAACTATATCCTAAATTCTTAGAGCTACCTTATTTACAACTTCTTTAGATTAAACGATTTAGGGTTTGCATTACTCAATATCAAACTTTTCTGTAAGTACAATCCTATTAGAATAGTTCAGGACAAAAAAAAATCATAAATAATTTTAGTTTAGTTAAAATTCTCTGGTTTAACTTAGTGAAAACTGTGTGTAATTTGTAGAAGCAGACTTCCTAAGTTCAGAGTTGAACTCAACCTTGATGCTGTTAACAGCACTTCCATGCCATGTCCCTTGCTCACTCCATGTCTCCACCTTGAACTTCGATGACATGAGGTACTACTTGGAATCCATCTCTATGGAAAAATGCAACAAGACCTCGAACTTGCTATTTCTTTGCCACTAGATAATACAGAGAGTGGGAATTTAAACTTGCTTTATAAAATTAAATTTAATTTTAATTTAAAAGACTGATAGCCACATATCAGTTCTTTTCCTTTGCAAAGCTGCCTGTTTGTATGACACAGCATCTGCGTATTAGGAAAAAAAAAAACCACCATAGTGCAATTCATGCTTTCTGAAATGGACAGGAAAATGGTTACTGCCCTGAGGTTCTGAATTCCTTTTATGTCAGTGTTTGTTTGAAAAAGCTGATGATCAGAGATTTATACACAGAAAGGAAGAGACTGAAATGATATCATATTACTTCAAAATATATTAGCGAATCTTGACAGTAAACATTAAGGTCAGTAATGGGAAACAAGCATTACCTGTAAGCTGAAATAGTATAAGGCAGTCAATACAGTAGCTCTACAGGAATGATTTTAAAACTACTCTTATATAGCCACAACTATACCAGAATCTGTCAGATGTTCCTTTCTAGTTGTTTTAAAGCTGTAGATACCATTTGTCTAAAACATACTTCACTACAGCTTAAGTAATTTTTAATAAAACATATCATCTTTTAGAAAAACAGAGGTAAAGCTTGTATAATGATCAGAAATATTCAGTCATCCTATTTTGCTAGGCTGTCATCCAGTCCTTTTGGAAGAGGTCAAACCTGGTGGATTACAGTATTTATGAGTAACAGTATTCTAAGGGCTAACATGACAGAGTAAACAGCTCTATCTACTTGTAAACTATAAATGGGTACAAAGACTAAGAAACTAAGAATGAAGAAAAAGCGGGACAAAGCATAGAGGTTTTATCCTTATGGTGTACAGTCAGGACACTGAACGATACACATACAGTCTTTTCTTTGCTTTCAGTAAGGACTTTGAAAGGCAAAAATGACCTAGAACAATACTCAGGTTGCCTGAAGCTTTCTTTTTCTGCCTGCGGTCTTTGGACTGATTCCCCAACAAAGATACAGAGAAAAGATGTAGAAAGCTCAGTAAGTTTGGATTGTTTAACAGTCCATTAACAATATATATAGTTTTATATATATAAAACTATATATATGTAACTATATTTATATATAACTGTAACTGTGCTGTTTTCCATCAAGTATTACATATTGTTTGTCTCATGATCTGCATATGTGTATTCTACTTACCCTGAGAGACACTGCCTTTTTGTCTTTTAGATTTTACACAGAGCTGTTTTATAAATTCCTTTTCTGTCTATTTTCATATGCAAGGTGCTACTGCACATACTGTTCTGGGAAAGGAGAAATACAGAACAAAAAATATAATGGCTTCAACCAACCGTAAAAAGCACTTTTCAGTTCCAGAAGAAAATGTCAAAGTATTTCTGTAGACCCATAAATCTGGACAGGATGTTTACACACCAGTAGTGTTCATGTCCCAAGGGATATCTTTGTGAGGTGGAAAACTAGAGAGTAGGCTCCTACTCAAACCAATTAAATATGTGCTGCTGCACAACAATTAATACCATTTCTGGGTATTACTATTGACAACTGCACCCGTATCGCTGGCTTGTAATAAAAAGTTGGTTTCCTTTATCTCCCCTTTGTATAATCTGCAGTGATAATCATTTGGAATCTGAATTACTGAGTGGCCCATAATCACGTACTCGCAGGAAGAAGGTGAACTGCATGCCAGGCATGTTTATAAACAAGATAAATCACAACTCTGTAAGACAGATAACAATAATTTGGTTTTGTAAAAATATACACTGTATATCTTTAAAAAAAAAATTCTTCTTTAGCCCACGCCTCTGTTTATACAGAATTTGTTACTGGATTAGGCGAGTGATGTAGTAACAATTTGAACATATTTTCCTAAAGTATTGTTTTCGTGCAACCTAGACAGATCCAGGTTCTCACCAGTTGAAGCACAGTTGTTGCTATTAGTTCTATTTCTAATAGAATACCAATGAAGGTCATCTGCCTGGGGTGGATACTCTGAAATGGATCTTACAAACTGTGCTACATACAATTTCAGCTGGCAGTCCATCTCCTGAAGCTGTTAACGAAAGGCAATGCCACTGTTTTGAGGAAGTCCACCAGCACGTCCTGCCAGCCTGGTCACTTCTTTTCATCGTAACTTGCTATTGCCTGGCCGCTTCCTTAGCCATGGGACAACTGTAAACCATTCTTCACCATCAATAACCTTACCCGTGGCATTCCGTCTTTCACAGATCTATGAATTTCAGATCTGTAACATATTCTTTATTAAAAACTAGTTTTCAAAAACCATCCATCTCACGTTGCTTTACTCAGAGCAACTTTATGTTTCAGCCTGTTCTCTCGCCTCTGCTGTGAGAACAAAGCTAGTGCAGCGTTTCACAGCGCCGAAGCAAGCTCCATCCTAAGGACCAATTAAACCTTCAAAGCGGGAGTCCCCTGAGCAGGCCAGCGATGCCGGGCGTTTCGTGTATTTCCCTCTGGTAAGCCGAGCT